GGAGGGCGCGAGCGAGGTGTGCGGACTCCCGGCCCGCGGCCAGTCCAGCGACCCGTGCGGAGAGCGTGTGCGACTCCAGGCGCTGGTCCGCGGGGTGAGCCAGGAGAATTATAAACCCGGCCGGGGGTGTGTCCACCCTGCGAAGACACGCCCCCAGAGGACACGCCCACCTCGCTCGGCTGGCCGGGGCACCCGGGAGCGAGCCGCAGGAAACTGGCTTCGGAGCAGACCCGCGGACACAGGGTCCTCCGTGGCCTTTCCGCGAGGCCGCCGGCACTCACTCCCGCTGCTACTGTCCCGCCGCCGGCGCCGGGCTTCCCAAGTCCCACGGGTTGTCCAAGGTCAGCCCGCAGGACGCCAGAGCTCTCTCCCCTTCCTCAATTTCCTCCTGGCTGGAACTCCCTAAAATAAAATTTAAAAGGATTTTCTCAGCGGACCTTTGAGTATTTACACTTTCATTCCTCCTCAGGGCACAAGGAAGAGGAGTATGGGAAACTTTCTAAGAGACTTGTAGTTCCTAAAAACACTTGAGAAAAAAATTATAATAATTCATATCATGAAATAGGTACCATTTGGGGCAATTTTTGCAAGCATGACTGGTAAAGCAAAGCCAGGGCGAGACAGCAGTGCCAGGAGGTTGTTTGGTTCCATTTTACTTCAGAGGAGATTCATGTTCACCTTGCTATGTCCACAACTCCCAATCAATCGCCCTGACAAGTAGTGTAAATAATGAAATGCACACATTACATAACAAGGAGGAACTTTTCCTGATCCAAAGAGGTCACATTGCTGCCTCTTAAGCCTGCTTTCCAATCCTGTGTGAAGAACGTCAACCCCAATCCCAGGTTCCATTGCCTGGGGGGGAGGGCCGGCCGTGGGGAAAGCCCTGAATATATTCAGTAACCCCTAAATTCCTTTGCTTTACCCTTGTAGAAGATACATGCATATAATAAGCCCAGTTTCAGGCCGTAGGTACAATTTCTATTTTCTATGCCCCGTGCATATGACAAAATGTCTTTTAGTAGTTGAGTACCCTGCTCTTACCCAAGCACAGCAGCCTAATGAATGCTTTATCCCTCAGATAAGAACAGAGATCCAATTGGGAATTTTTAGATTCTGTGTGCTCCTATCCTCTTCTGCCTTCTAGACACCTTCATTTTAAAAAGGCACATGTCAGCCTAGTAGAAACTTCTCTAGAAACAGCATTGAGGTAGAGACTGCAATCTGCTATTTTCTGGAAAGTTAAGCTGAAATATTGAAAACTATTGATCAACTTTAGTTTTGAAGCTATGAATTTCAAGCATTTGGGTAGTAAAGTTGGCCACACCATTCAGAGAACTGAACCAGTCTACAACACTGAATTTGCACTGAATTCTTTGCCTTGTTTTATATTATATTCTTTTGCTTTATATTTTGTGTCTAACCAGGGAATTGAACCTCACATTTGCTAAGCACATGCTCTATCACTTACACCATAGCTCCAGCATCTTTTAATGTTGGTTATTTTCACAGTAAGGACTTGATTTTGATGTTCAGCCACCTGGGCTTCAGTCCTTGAATTTGTGCTTGCCTGTGTTAGTGGGGAAGATAGCCACCCAGCCATTGTGCTTCCTGTTCAGCTGGGATAACAGCCATGTGCCTCCAGCAATAGCCTTAGTCAAGAGACAGTCTCTCACATGTTCATGCCCAGGCTGACCTCCAACTACAATCCCCAGATCCACAATCCCACAATCTCTGTCTCCCAAGTAACTAGGATTACAGGCTTGAGCCACATCTTGAGCTTGAGCCACTTCTAAAGCTGTATAAGTGGACATTCTCTTGTCTTTGCCTGAGACAGGCCCAAGTATTCTCTAAAGCCATAGCACTATCAAAACCTAACAACTATTTACCTACCCTTCAAGTTCCTCTAAAAGGAATATCTCATTTTTTTTCTTTTACTGGGAAACTTTTTTGCAATGGTGAGTTCTTCTGAATTTTCTTTTAGAAGTGTGTCCACATTATTCAACTGGGGCAGCTAATGAGTCCTGGTGACGGCTCTAGAGGACCTCGATAATAAACCCGCATTCCCGCTCTGAGCTCATCCGCAATATTCATTCCTCTCTGTCCCCAAATGCACATAGATCTGACGTTGCAGATATCCTGGGACCATAGATTATGTTTAGAGAATCACATGAATATGGAGATTTTCTACCGAATCAGAAGACCTGAAAATCACCATGGCACATAACTGAGTTTTCCATGAGTAAATGGCATGCCATATTTACAGAAAGAGAGGATGAATGATTTGATTGTTAATATTAATTTTTCAAATACACAGTTTTGCATATAGCCAAAAGTGTATTGCCATTCACAAATGCTGCTGCCTACTAGATGAACACGGGCTGACCCCTACTTGTTCTTTCTGGGTTTTCATTTTGTGTTTGTGTGCCAGTACTGGGGCTTGAACTCAGGGCCTGGGCATTGTTCCTTAGCTTTTTGCTCAAAGCTGGTGCTCTATGTCCAGATTTTTGGTAGTTAATTGGAGATCAGTCTCTTGTACTTTCCTGGCTAAGCTGGCTTCAAATCACAATCCTCAGATCTCAGCCTCCTGAGTAAGTAGGATTACAGGCATGAACCATGAGCACCCAGCTTTTTCTGGATTTTCAACATTATTAGTATGATATAACTCCCATGAGCAAGCCTGGATTCCCCTGTCCAGCCACATAAGAAGCATTCCATTCTGTATCCAGATATTCAATTAACATCCTTAATTGCTTTGAGGCTGTGCTTCAGATTTCTGCTAATTACCAGCACCTTAAAACCTTTTCTCCTCAAGTCCTTGTACATTATTAACACTAAAGATGAGATTTCTATTTCTAGTTTTCATAAGGTGTCTCTCACCATAGAACCTAAACACACAGATGAAAGATATAGGCCACTTCTTTGATTTACAAAATAGAACAAGCACATCTGAATCCAATATAGAGAATCTAAAAATATCCATGCTCCATATTGTACGAATAAGTATTCCACAGAGCTCTCGATTTGATTCTTAATCCCTTTACAACCTCATGTCATATGTCATCCTTTAACTTACCCTTATACTACTCACTTACAGTGTTTGTGTAACGAAGGTTAAACCTCATCACCAGAACAATTTCTGAAAACTAAGACCTTTACAACAATTAGCATTTGATACTATGAAAATATACTTGGAGAGAACCTCAAGGGGTGAACTTATGTACAAACCATTTTAAAGAGCAGATACTAGGATTGTTTCACAGTACCTCACATCTTCCTGCTGTTCTTTCTTTATCTTTCCCTCTTGGAGTCCTAGGGTATAAAGTCAAGGCCTTGTGTTTTCTTTTTTCTTTTTATTTTTAATAAGTTTTCTATTGTGAAAATACCGTACAGAAGGGTTACAATTACATGAGCAAGGTAATGAGTACAACTACACTCCCCCCTCCCAGTCAAAGTTGTAAAGTTCGTTTTTCAACATAGCATCTTGTACATCTCATTGTTGCAATGGATCCACCTGTATCCCTATTTAAACAATTTGTTTTTTCCCTTCCCCTCCCCAAATTATACCAACATCAAATACAGTGAAAACAGAGGTTATACCGTGGGGGAGGGACATACAAAGCAACAAAAATAATTACATGGTACCTTATAAATATGTTAGAAACAATAGCAAGAAAAAAAAAAAACCACT